TATGGGCCTATTAAGATGGTTTAACTCATCTTGGTTTAGTTTCGGCATGTCAGTATTTGCTAGGAAAAGTTACATTTCTGCCAAGTTCTCAAACTTATTATCATAAAGTTTTCAGAAGTATTCCCTTATAATTTTCTGAATCTTGGTTGTTTCTGTGGTGATGTTTCCAATCTCATCTCTGAGTTTATTTATTTGGGTATGTTCTCTTCTTTTTCTGATTAGATTTGCTAAGGGTCTGTCAATTTTGTTAATTTTTTCGAAGAACCAACTCTTTGTTTTGTTGATTCTTTCTATGATTTTTTGGATTCTAATTCATTTAATTCTGATTTAATTTTAATTGTTTATTTCCATCTACTGAATTGGGGTTCATCTTGCTGCTGTTTTTCAAGGAGGCTCAGATGTCTCATTAAATTGTTGGTTTCAGATCTCTCCAATTTGTTGATGTAGGAACTCAGAGCTATAAACTTGCCTCTGAGTACTGCCTTTGCTGTGTCCCAGAGGAGCTGGTAATTTGTGTGTTCATTTTTGTTGAATATCATGAACATTTGAATTTCCTTTCTAATCTCTTCCATGATCCACCGGTGATTCAGCAGTGTGTTGTTCAGCCTCCATGTGTTACAGGATTTTCTTTGGTGGCTTTTGGTGTTGAGTTCTAATTTTATTCCCTTGTGGTCTGAGAGAATGCAAGGTATAACTTCAATGTTTCTGAATTTAGACAAGTTTGCTTTGTGGCCTAAAATGTGGTCTATTTTGGAAAATGTTCCATGTGCTGCTGAGAAAAACGTATGTTCTGATGCTGCGGGGTGAAATATTCGGTAGATGTCTGTTAGATCTAGTTGATCTATGCAGTTGTTTAGATCTGTGGTTTCTCTGTTGCATTTTTGCCGAGTTGATCTATCTAGTGGGGAAAGTGGTGTGTTAAAGTCCCCAACAATTAATGTGTTTGGATCTATGTGGGATTTGAGGGAAAGTAGTGTTTCTTGGATAAATTTGGGTACTCCGTTGTTTGGAGAATAGATATTTAGATTTGTAATATCCTCCTGAAGGAGAGATCCCTTAATTAGTATGTAGTGACCTTCTTTATCTCTTCTCACTAATTTTAATTTGAAGTCTATTTTATCAGATATTAGGATTGCAACTCCCGCCAGTTTATGGGGGCCATTTGCTTGGTAGATTTTGATATCCTCCTGAAGGAGAGATCCCTTAATTAGTATGTAGTGACCTTCTTTATCTCTTCTCTCTAATTTTAATTTGAAGTCTATTTTATCTCATATTAGGATTGCAACTCCTGCCAGTTTATGGGGGCCATTTGCTTGGTAGATTTTGATATCCTCCTGAAGGAGAGATCCCTTAATTAGTATGTAGTGACCTTCTTTATCTCTTCTCTCTAATTTTAATTTGAAGTCTATTTTATCTCATATTAGGATTGCAACTCCTGCCAGTTTATGGGGGCCATTTGCTTGGTAGATTTTGGTATCCTCCTGAAGGAGAGATCCCTTAATTAGTATGTAGTGACTTTATTTATCTCTTCTCACTAATTTTAATTTGAAGTCTATTTTATCTCATATTAGGATTGCAACTCCCGCCTGTTTATGGGGGCCATTTGCTTGGTAGATTTTGTTCCAACCTTTCACATTGAAAATGTGTTTGTTTTTATGGGCAAGATGTGACTGCTGAAGGCAGCAGATAGAAGGATCTTGCTTTTTAATCCAACTAGACAGTCTATGTCGCTTAATTGGAGAGTTAAGTCCGTTAATGTTGAGAGATAGGACTGAGAGATATTTGGGAGTTCCTGCCATTTTATCCACCTTCTTGGGGGCTGCAGCAACTGGGTTCTACCTATGGTTCTTGGATTCTCAGTTTGGGTGCAGTTTCTTGGCCTTTATTGTGGTCTTGTTGGTTTTATATGTGTAGGACAACTTTAAGAATCTTTTGTAAGGCTGGTTTGGTGGAGATATATTGTTTCAATTTTTCTTTGCTATGGAAGGTTTTTATTTGACCTTTGGTTATGAAGGAGAGTTTAGTTGGGTACAGAATTCTTGGTTGATAGTTGTTTGTCTTTAGGGCATGGCATACATCATTCCAGGCTACTCTCTTTGATTGTCTCTGCTGAGAAATCTGAGGTGATTCTAATTGGTTTCTCTTTATAGGTGATTGATCTTTTCTCCTTTACAGCTTTAAGGATCTTGTCTTTGGTCTGAATTGATCCTGTATGGATTATAATGTGATGGTGGGATGTCCTATTCTGCTCTGGTCTATTTGGAGTTCTAAAAGCTTCTTGTATCTGAATAGGCCTATCTTTTTGCATGTTTGGGATGTTCTCTGCTAGGATCCTGTTAAACAAATTTCCTAGACCATTCACTTCTGTCTCTAGGTGCTCCTCTATACCCATTATCCTCAGATTAGGCCTTCTGATGGTGTCTTCCAAGTGTTGAATAGATCTATCATATTTCTTGGATTTGTCTTGGATGGTTATGTGTTCTTTCTCTATAATATCTAGGCTGTCTTCAATCCCTGAAATTCGATCTTCTGCATGGTCTAACCTACTTTCAATTCTTTCTACTTTGTTTTTTATTTCTTTTCCTTCTGGTTGGTCGGCTTTGATGGCTTCAAATTCTTTGTTGGAGCTTTGTTTTAGTCTTGTATGAACTTCTTTACTTCCTTAATTTGGTGTTCAATGTTTATTCTCAAATCAATTAGTTGATTGTCTATGATTTCCTTGGACTCCTATTCCTTCTGTTGGGTTCCATTCAGCATTCCCTTTGTGGTCTCCCTAACTTCTTTCAGCTCTCTGTTTATGGATTCCATGAATGCCTTTAGTGATCTTTCTGTATTCTCATCCTGCTCTCTCAATTCTTGTATTACTCTTTGATTAGCTTCTTCATGTTCACGCAGTTCCTGTAGTTCTCAGCCTGGTCACGCCATTCCTTTATTTCTCTTTGAGTGTTCTCAAGCTGCTCATGCAATTCCTGTATCAATCTTTGAGTAGCTTCGTCACGCTCATGATATTCCTGTATTAACCTTTGTTTTACCTCCTCTCTCTCCCTATCACGCTCATACAGAGTCCTTTGCAGGTTTTCAATCTTTTCATTTACCATGTTTACCAGTAGTGTTGGTAGAACACTATTGAGAGTTTGGGAACTCTCCTCTGGATTTTTCATTATCTTTTCTGTCCCCTGATTATCACAAGTGGGAGTTGAGATACCCGGACTTGCCATTTTTCTTGTGTTTTTCTGGGTTGCTCTGCCCATTTGGGATGAAAGTAACACCAGTTTTGTGCTAGCACGCTATTTTAAGGCAAGCATTAACCAAAGTCTGTAGTTGCACAGTCAAAAGTCTGCAGATACAATCTAGTTGAACAGATATATCTATTCAACATCAAACAACTATGTATTAATTGGCTACGAACCACAAAGAAGAATTTGGCAAACAGAAATTATTAGGTTTAGGGAGAGATGTGGGTAAAAATAGGCATAGAGGGATGTGGAAAGGCAGTGGGAGAGTTAACTAAATCCTAATCTCAAAATGGGAAATAGGTTGGATAGAATGATAGTAGCGAGAGAAAAAAAAGAAAGAAAAAAAGACAAGAAAAAATAGAAAAACAAAAATTAAAAATTAAAGAATGCAACACTTAAAAATTATAAAAATTGAAAACGTAATATTCAGGGAAGAACGTAGATAGAATAAGAGAAAGGAAGGGATAGAAAGGAGATGTGAAAAACTTAAAAAAGCTTAAAATATGTATAGGTATAAAGAGGTAGTACTGCTATTAAGGAATTTAAGTCTAAGAGGTTTTAAATTGAGTAATAAATTTCTGGATTAAGTGTGTAACAATGGGGGATAAGGTCTAATAATCGACTACGGCTATATCTGAGGATGAGCAGAATAGCAATTAAGTCATGCAAAGAAGAATGAAAGAGAAGAAAAAGTGAAAAGAATGAGAAGGAAAGAAAAAAAAGGATCAAATGGTCAGTAGAGCTAAACAAAACCAAATTTTTAAAAAGAAAAGAAAAAAAAGTATGCACATATACTCCTAAAATAAAAATTATAAGAGGAAGAAAAAAAGAATAGAAAACAACAATTTTTTAAAGTTAAAAATTAAAAAAAGTTTTAGAAAAAAATTTTTTATAGAAGGTACAAAAAAAGAGTTCTTTGATTTTTGAGGGGATGGGAAGATACTGTATTTCCCTTGTGTCTGTAACCAGTCTCTTGTTCGAGTCTCTGGTCTGCTTGTGATGTTTAATTTTCCTGTGGCTTGGATGGTTTCTTAAGTCAGTTTGAGCAGGCAGAAAAATGCTGTGCTTTACCCAGGATTTTGTGATCCTCCTTGCAAGCTAGTTCAATGGGAGGGAGATCTGCTTTGAGTATCACAAAAGAGGGAGATGACTACTTCCTCTAGTTTGGAGATGCTGTGATGAGGCTAGGTTCTGGGTAGAGTTGAGGCCTTTCAGCAAACAGTAGCTTTTCCTTGGGGCTAGTTTGGGAGAAACTCACAGAGCCCAGCCTGGAGCTACTCTCAGGGTTTATGTTTACTGAATTTCAATTGATTGTCAAGGCTGCTGTAGGGAGGGGAAGCCTCTGGCTCTGTTTACCCAGTGAAGAAAGCCCCTCCAGGGGCTGGTGGCCTGGGCTGGGTGACTTTTCCTTAGGGGAGCTGAGCCTGGCAGGTCAGGTCAGGTTCCTGTGACCTGTTAAATGACTCTTGTTTTCTTCCAAGGCCTGAGTTGGAGCTAGCTGCTCAGCCAGGCCTTTTTCAGTATCAAAGATGGAGATCTCCGGTAGTGGGGGAAGAGAGGGGTGGCCTTCCCTCCTCTGCTCCCTGAGAAGGAGTGAGGATGTCAGGCTTCTACTCATGCAGGAGTCTTGGTTCCTGGGTCGTCTCTGGTCTGCGAACTGCAGAATGAAGATGTCTGCTCCTTGTCAGTTCTTGCTGGTGTTGAGTAGAATGCGCTCACCTGCCGCATCTAGCGCCTTTGTCCTGGACTCTCTGTGTTGCAGGTATGGCGGCTACAGCAACCACCACTGCTGCAGCAGCAGTCACGGCTGCTGGCAAGTGCTCAGATCTGTCTCCTTGCCTGGATTTTCCCTCTCTGGCCTAACTCTCTGTCCTGTGATGGCACACTTGATGTGATTTTCTGGTTTAGGACTGTTGACTGGAGCACTAAAACTGCTTTCTATGCAAGAGCTTGTTTAGCCTCCAGCTTCTCCTCCACCATCTTCCCGGAACTCCTCTCTAAGGCTTTTTCAAGGCTTCCAATCACAGGGCCTACCCAACAATTAATACAATGTTAATCCCCAATACCTCTTTCCCTGGCAGAGGGTTCACCCACTGCAAATTGACTTTCAGCTGGAGTACGTGGACTCTATTGTGTTGTATATACTCCAGAAAACAGGAAAAGCTGGACTTCCCATAAATACATCCTAATTGGCTGAGTGTATGAGTGCTGAAAGTCTATTGTTGAGTTTGAGACATGACATCTATGTGGAAATCAGTGGTGCATGAAGGGTGGGTGAGAACATGGAGGCAGATGGGTGGGGTTTGGGAACCTTAATAGACTCTTGTGACCAATGATGATTCAGGATTGAAAGGCCAAGAGTGTGTGGGAGCTGTTCAGTAGGGTTGACCAGAACTTCAAAAGCTGATTTCCAAGCATGTAGGGCTAATCTTGGTTTGAGATAATTCTTCCCAGGCTATCTCCTTTTGAAGTATGACCTGTGATAAGAGTAATTGTGCTTTCATATTTCTCTTCATCTTTAATATGTGTTTGTGCCACTGCCATCAGCATGTGATGATATAGTCAAGGGTTCCTCACTTTACAATTGTGCTGTATGAATTTTGCTTCCTAAACTGTGAGCTATATGAAACTATTTTCTTTAATGCCTCATTGATTTTACTAGATCCATTTAAAACAGACTAATATAAATACAAATGTAAGTGAATAAAAGCCTTAATGGTGTCAATCAAGTAGTGCAGTGGTTGCTTATCAAACATACATGCTTTGATTTCAAACCATACTATGTTCAAAAACAAGAAACTTAATAACTTACCAGAAAATGCAATATTAAATATTAGTGAGATGGATGTGATGTTGCATGTCTATAATCCTAAATACTTGGAAGGCTAGATTGGGAGGACTTAGAGTTTGAGACTAGCCTAGGCAAGGTTAGCAAGTTCTTATCTCAAAAAAAAAAAGAGATACAAATGAAAAAGCTAGAGTGTGTCTCAAGTGATAGAGAGCTTTACCTGCCATATATATGACCTTAATTTCTAGTCCCAGTACCTCCAAAGAGGGGGGGGGGTATTTAGGGGAAGTGAACATATTCTTTACATTAATGAAATGTATACATCTTATTTTACTTTATTCAACGACTGAGCAAGGAGCCTGTGGTTCATGGAGGGTTGGGGAGGAGGTAACAAGGATGAGCTCCAAGACCATGATCATCTCAGGGAAAATTGTCATCTGTGACTCCACTCTTTGTTTCTGTCTTCTGCTCTTTTCTCTTTTCTGTGATCATTATGGGGAATCTCATTATGAGGGTTGAATTTTTTTCCTTGCATAGGGAAAAGAGAAGGCAAGGACAGACACCACATACCCCTGACAATGAGGACTGACAAGGGAGAGGGCAAAGAGGGAATCCGTGGAGATGCTGTACAGAGATTACTTATTTATTTACTTGTGTCCCTCAGGCCCTATAAGCACATAGGGTCATTTGCTTTATCTCACCTGATCTTCATCCTGACAATGCTCTGAACTAGATAAATAGGCGAGATGGGGGCAGTACTGGAATTATATCTATTCTAGTGCTACATGATACAATAATGATGTACATTCAAATAAGTACCAGTCTGTTTTGGTGAAAATGAACTCTCTCACGCTTCTACTGTAACTGACCTCTGATTTGCAAGATAGAAAGGGGTCTGTATGGCTTTAGAGTGTCCATAGTGATAGAGTAGGGATCTGTGACATTCTCACATTATTATCAATGTTACTTCTTTCCTTGGTCCTACTGGTGATACTGACCTGTGCACTCATGACCCTGGTTGTTGACATTTGCATTTTGTGTCTCTCAGGCCAAAAAATTCAGCCTCAGTCCACTGGGCATGTAGTTGAAGACTCCTCTGAACCTTGGTCTCATGTTCCATCATTCCTCCTGTGCTCATGGCTATGCTCATAGCCTCAGTTGCAAGACAAGTAGTCCCTGGCTGGCTTAAGCCTCCTTCATGGTAATACCTGGCTCTTGACTCATCCATTTTTCTATAATCTCCTTCCAAAAGAAAGCAGCCTAGTGCTAGGAGCTCACAATACAAGAGAACCATGATGGGCTTCATAAAGTTAGGTTCCTAAAAGGCAAACTTTTATGCATGATAGCATCAGGCGGTACAGAGGAAGAGCGTGATATATCAAGGGAAAGTTTAACTGCAAGTCAAGCCCTTAGAACAATGGAAAGAGGCAAAGCCTAGGTGCTTCATGCTTCTAATCCTAGCTATTTAGGAAGCTGAGCATGGGTGAATAACCATTTGAAGCCAATCAAGTAGGAAAAAGCTCACAAGATATCTTTTCAATCTGTAGTTGGATGCAGTAGCTTGTGATTAACATTCCAAGCTATTTGGGAGGCTGTGGTGCTAGGTTAGCCCAGGCACAAAAGTCAGTAAAACTATCTCCATAGAAGAAGGCTAGTGATGATGAGGCTCAATAATGATGATAAAGTTAAAATCAGGCATATTGAAGCTCAGATGAACACTTGGGAAATTATTGAGACCCTATCCCAGAAATAACCAGTAAAGAGCAGGGAAGGAGCAGCAGCTCAATGGTACTGTACCAGCCCAGCAAAAATAATGTTTTGAGTTACAACCCTAGTACTACAGAAAAAGTAGAGAAGAAAGGAGAGAAGACACGAGATTTTGGCCAAGAGCCTAACATCAAATAAGATCAGGTCACCTCCTCCAGATATTAGAAATAATGTTCAGTGTGGTTGGAGGTATCAAGAGTTTTCATCTAAAATCTTCTCATTTCTCAATGAACGAATAGTGAATCTCATGAGAAGAGTTTTTTTTTTTCCCTTGCTGATGGAGAGCTCTTATATGTAAACAAGAGTCCCCATGTAAAAGGTACAGACTTTGTCCATTTAGGTATATTGCCAGGAAGTTACGGAGAAGGGACAAGGGAGAAGAAACATGTCAGAGGGAGAGCTCATAGCTGTAGGTAAGCTTGGTAAGGAAGGGTCTGATGGACAGATTGGAATGCAGGTGGAAGCAATCAGTGCTATGGAGGCCTCCAGGAGGCTGAAAGCTGTGGATGCTGAATCTTTAGAGAAGGAGCTGGAAGGAGAGTAGAGTATATATACATTGCTTCAAAGAGGAAGGCGGGGGGCGGGGGGAGAGAGAGAGAGAGAGAGAGAGAGAGAGCACCATTGGTGGTTATGTTCTTCTGACTTGGGAGGAGAGATTTAGGAGAAAGAGAACACCTCCTAGGAGGAGAGGCTCAATATAGTTTGCTCTGCCTCATTAACTCTGAAGTGTGTACTTGGAATCACAGGGATGAGAAGAAGGCAGTGACAGTACCTCAGGAGAAGTATGTCAGAAGGTTGGGGTGAGTAAGAGGAGCATGTCCAGAAGACTGTTGCAGATCTCAGAGGTAGAGCTGAGGGGACAGTTGGAGAGTAGGTTCTGGATACCACTTGTGCCATTTCTTACCCTACAGATAACTATAGCACTGAAGGAAAAATGCAGAAGAACCCTAGGAGTGACAGTGGCCTTACTTTTCTCCCCCCTCCTCCCATATAGGTCCATAATCCACTAATCCTAGTCCTTGAGCAGCTGAAAATTCCATGCTTGTCAGGGCCTGCCTGTGGCTGTTCCTGTGGTTTCCATGGAAGGGCAGGAAAAGTATTCTTTCCACACTGGAAACAAATCACAGGGACCACTATTGTCGATACCAGTTTATTCTTTCGTCCTTGTTTTTAGCTTACTTGACTTCTCCAGCTAAGATCTCCATGCCTTCAGGCCACAAGGAACTGAAAATGTCACTTTTCCTCCAGAATTGGTGGCTGTTGGAATCACAAGTCTGCAGATGGCAGTGCTACTCCATGCATTAATATTGCAGGCGCCCCCCCACTCCCACAAAAGGGCTCTTTTCTTGAGAAATAGCCCTGGAGCCTATTTTCTGGAAAACAAGCAGATTATCCTTTGCAATCATCAACTGAGGTCCATCAGGAAAACTTACCATGTGGGAACAAAACACTTTGGATTTTCAAATGAGCAGTTCTGTTGCAGAGCTGCCTAGATAGTTCCCTTAGCAGCTTGCTTATCTGCCTTTCTAAATAATCTTATCCTTTATCTCCACCTTTTATTGAGGGGGGGTTATACTCCTTTATCATTTGATCCAAAATTATCATCCTTAGGGCAGCCCTTCAGCTTTGCTGTAGAAAATGTGGCATCTGTGGCCAAAGAGAGAAAATGTTCCAAGCAGCAAGACAAAAGTGATTCAGTGTTCAAATAATAACCAATAATAAGAATAAAAATTTCTCATAAAAACATGTAGTCCCAAAGGCATTGAAATGGCATAATTTAAATGTAGAATTTAAAAAACTGCTAATGAAGAGCTCTATACTTGGCAAAATTCTCTTTTTGTATATTTTTATTGTAAAAATACTGTACAGAGGGGTTACAGTTACATAAGGTAATGAGTACATTTCCTATTGAGCATTGTTAGCTCCTCCTGTTTTTCCCCTACCATCCCTTCCCTCCCCACCTTACCACCTCTTCTCCCCCTTAGTTGTAAAGTTCATTTTCAACATAGTGTCTTATACATCTTATTGTTACAATGGGTCAATCTATATCTTTATTTCATCATTTTATTTCCCTTCCCCTCCCCAAATTAGAAGAATGTATATTCAGATGCAGGGCACTGATATCAATCAAATACAGTGAAAACAGGGGTTATTCTGTGGGGGAAGAATATACAAAAGAAACAAAAAATCATATGGTACAATCATAAATAAATTAGAAACAACAGCAAGAAAGATAAAACCACTTGTGTCTCTATTTGGAGTTCACTTCTCTGAAGAGGAAATAAAATTATTCTTAAAACATGTAGGAGAGCCAGGCGCCATTGACTCATGCCTATAGTCCTAGCTACTTGGGAGGCTGAATCTGAGGATCATGGTTTAAAGCTAGCTCAGGAAGAAAAGTTCATGAGCCTCATCTCAAATTAACCACAAAAAGCTGGAAATGGAGCTGCTCAAGTAGTAGAGCACTAGCCTTGAGCACAAAAATCTCAGAAACAGTGCCTGGGCCCAAGGTTCAAGCCCTAGGACCAGCAAAAAACAAACAAAAAAATGTGTATTCCCAGATAAAGAAAAGTTTAGTCAGTTCGTCACCAAGGAAGTCTTTCAGGCTGGAAGGAATAGATTCTAGATAGTGACTTGAACTCACATTAAGAAAGAACGAACCCTGGAAGAGGCAACAACAAAGTTAAATATAAAACAAACATTATATATTTGCTTTATTAACTCTTCTTTCTGTTTTCCATATGATTTAGAAGGCAAAAACACAAAATAAATGATTATAAATTCATGATGATGGATAGACAATGTATAAAGATATATTTGGGAGAAGAATCACACAAATGAGTGTAGAGCTATATATGAAAATTGTTTTATATGCCATTGAAGCTTTATTGATATACATTCAAACAAGATTGTTATAAAAGGAACATTAATTGTAATTCTCACAGGACAAAATAAATAAAACTATCTACCTATTTATTCTCACAACAATGACAAAGGCATGAATATTGTAAAGCTAGACATATATAAATTATTCCACTAAAAATTTCAGAGTATACATACTACTCAAGTGTCCCTAGCATGTTCTCACAGAGAGATATACCATACATTACACATAAAAGCAAATGCCCAATACATTTTAAAGTATTGAAATAATACATATTATTTCCTATCAATAGAATGGAATGAAGTTATAAGGTGAAAACTTCACAAATATGTGAAAATCAAGCAGTATACATCAACAATGAGCCAAAGTATAAATCAAAAGCACATTTGAAAGTACTTTATAAACAAAAATGAAGATGACAAAAAGTAAAGAACATAGTAAAGGCAAAATTTCAAGGGGAATTAAAAGGAGTAATAAGTTTCTGATTAATAATCTAATTTTCTGTGGAGGTGGTATGGAAGGGATGGCAGGGGGAAAATAAAGGAGGAGGCAACAATGCTCAATAGGAAATGTACTCATTACCTTGCTCATGTAACTGTAACCCCTCTCTTTACAGTAAAAAAAAACGTACAAACATAATCTAATTTTCTACTTTAATTAATGATAAAACAGTCAACTAACCCCAAAACTGGAAAGGGGGAGGATATGACACCTACCATGGAGATAAATGAAATAGAAAACTGAAAAACAATAGAATCAATGAAATCCAAAGTTTTAACTTCAAAAATGTTAACAAAAATTGATAGATTTTTGTTTTTTGTCATGGGGCTTGGGCGCTGTCCTTGTGCTCTTCAGCTCAAGGCAAGTGCTCTACCGCTTGAGCCACAGCACCACTTCTTGATAGATTTTTTTAACCTAATCATGCTAAGAAATGAGAGCTGTAATTGAAACTAGACATAACATTGCAACCAATTTTACCAAAGTTAAAGAAATATGAGAATACTGTGAACAATTGTATGCTAACATATTAGGTAACCTAAGTTTAAAAAAATGCATGAATTACTAGAAACCCACAAATTGCCAGAGAAACTAGTAAGCCCAAATAGATCCACAAAAGTAAAAATAATTATCAGGGAAAAAAGCAGGAAAAAAAGCAAAGCTTCCAGCAGCTGGAGATCTATGTTGCAGAAGTTATATAGCACTGTTGTATAGGAAGCATCAGGCCCTGAATTCAAACCCCAGTACTGCCAAATAACAAAGGAACACCTCCAGACAAGAAAACAGTCCAGGACCAGATGGTTTATCTAATATCTACCAAATAATTAAGAATCCATTCATAAGGGAATGGAAAGACTTGGAAAAATTATATTAAGTGAAGTAGACTAGACCCAGAGAAATGCTGGTTGAGTGGTTTCTCTCATTTGTGGTAGCTAGAATGTTCCCATAAATCAAGAAGTAAACACATTTGGTGGTACCTATCAATCAACCTATCTTCATTGTCCTCTGGAATATTAGATTGGATCATGAATCAGATTCACCAATGTAGTCAGGAATGAAGGTGAAATATTAAAGGCTATGGAGTGAATGGTCCAGTGGTTCAATGATGAAAATGATTTTTCTGAATCATGGACATCCAACTAGTAAGACAAATTATTCTGATTCTTGCTGAAATGTTGAGGGACAGTTTATTCAAGATTTTTGCAACTTCCAGCTTTTAAGAATGTCATGGATTTTCCTGCTTGGGCTGCATTTGAACTGTAATCCTCAGATCTCAGCCACCTGAGCAGCTAGGATTACAGGTGGGAGCAACCAACATCCAGCCATTTGTGTCATTTTTAAAAGTCTGCAAATGAGGGAAAATTGACTATATTTATTTGTCTTTCTGAGCTTGGCTTATTGTGTTCAATGATTTCCTGCAAGGGACATAAGGTCAATTGTCAACATGTTTGAATACCGTAGAGTGTGTGTATCATATATTCTTTGTCAGGAGGGAATATACCTAAACACAACAAAGGCTATACTAAATATAGAACCAATATTTTACAAAAAATGAGGGTAAACTTTAAAAAATGGAACAATTTCCTCTGAAGTCAGGTGAAGCAGTCAAGTATAAAAATCAAGTATAAAAAACATTGAATTAGTAGAGTGTTCATGTAGCAGTAATGAATAGGCAGTGAAAGAAATTGGGAAAATAATACCATTCATTATTGCCTCAAAAATACCTAGGAGTGAACCTGAGGAGTGAAAGATCACTACAATAAAAACTATGCAACATTGAAGAAAGACTTTGAACATTAATGAAAGCCTTCCCATTCATGGATCAGCAAATCAGTCTTATGGAAACTGCTATACCACTGAAAGCCAGTTACAGATTCACTGCAATAACCTTCAAAACACAAGCAAGTACTTTAGTGGAAGAAATACATTGGAAATGAGTGATTAAAGGAAATTTCTCTCCAAAAACCTTCTTAGGTGCTATTTGTGTCTTTTCATGTTCACAATAAATCATGGCACTATTACTTATTCTGATCTACTTTCAGTTAGGGACTGTGCTGGTAAATTGACTGGTTTCCTGTACATAAAAGGTCTGAATATATTCTATACACTGTGTATATTATATAATGTATATAATGTTATACATATGTATGTGGCTATT